CTGCCCTGTGCACCCACAGCCACGGCGCCCAGCCCCTTGCAGTCCCCCGGAGCTGCCTCCGTGCAGCCGCCCCCGTCCTCCGCCCGGCTTGTGCAGCCTGGCCCTGTCCATATTTAAAATGGATATATTCTATCTTTACTAATGGAATCTCTGGACTTTTTATGATCTTACATTATAGATTCTTTACAAATATATTGATTATTTTACATGTGTAAGGATGAGCAATTTAAACTGGTTCCCAGACTTTGGAAGCTCACTTCTACATAGAGAAGAGATAAAACTTTTGTCAGTTATAAAGGGCCTTACATTACATGTTAAAAGCCAAGTAGCTGTTAAGAATTTTAAGCAGAGTTTAACTGGATCAGATTTCTAGTGATGTAAATAATAATAATATTTTTAAATAATAAGATTATCACCCCTCATATAAAGCTTATTACATGCAAGTCACCACACTAAGCATTATCTTGGCATCAACTTCTTTTAATCTTCTTAACATTTTTAGGTTGTCATATGTATTTTCCATTTTACAGTAATCTTCCTATCACAGTGAACAGCACGTAATAAACACTCAATAAATAATAGCTATTATGAATTCTTTTTATAACACAGTATTTAAGAAAAATGAGATCACTTTGACATTCAGAATACCCAAGACTTGAATCGGACTTTGCCACTTATTAACTGTGTGCCTTTGGGCAAGGTTATCCAACTTGACAAATTTCAGTTTCCTTATTTGTAAAGTGGAAATAATGCCTGCCTCACAGGGTTTGCATGAGGACTGAAAATGCAGGTCAGATCATGCGGATGAAGTGCTTAGTGCCTGATTCATTGGGAGCCTTCAGTGAACGGAGATCATCATATTGATCAGACAACCAAGTCAGTCAGGTGTCCCCCAGACACTACAAGGTGGGAAACTCCCCCGTCAGGTGGGAGGGGAAAAGACATCAATTACATTATCTCCTCCTCTGTCCACGACATCTTTTAACGGCTCCATAGTATGTAAAATTACACCTAAAAATGACCATATAAAAATGTGATGCGGTTACACCTCATCTTTCAATGACATCTTTCCTGACCTCTTTCCCAACTGAAGTAAAATGAATGAGTCCACCATTCACCCTTGCTGTCTTCTTTCACGACACCCACACTTCACTGCTCTTCTTTGCTTACATCTCCATCCTCCCTTCAGGATGCTCAGGTTCAGGAAGGCAGAATCAGCGTCATGGTTTTTCTTGTAACCTACATCAGAGACACAATACTAAAATGCCAAAACAAATTTTAAAATATATAAAATAAGTGATTGGCCAAGGAAAGAATTAAAGTTAGTAATGCAATGAATGTGCCTAATTCAAATGATATTTATTGATTTAGGAAATTACAATAACTTGAAAAGTATAATGTTATCTTCCCTTTTGAGTTCCAGTCAATTTATGTAGGCTTACTATTAATCAAAATGATTTTCTTATATTTGGTAAATTCTTCATATATACGGTTTTATTCTATAAGTAACATTATACTGGTGGGAGAATAAGTATGGCAGAGAGCTCTGGCTGTTCAAAATCTCTTCTACTTCCTGGGCACCCAGCTACCCTACAGCCTCCAACCTCCCTTGTAGATAGGTGCGGATATTTGAATGAATGCTAGTAAATAGAATGTGGATACAAGCTATCCGTGTCATTTGTAGCCATAGCTCATAACTCTTGTGCCTTGTTTGACCCCAAATCTTTGCCTGGATGAATACGGACAGTTTGGGAGCCCTATGGGGTGATGGAGCCATTAGATGAAGCAAGCCTGGGTCCCCGAGCCATCATGGAAGAGGTCAAACCATCGACCTAACCCTGGCCTCTGACTAGAGCAGTAAATAATCTTTTATTAAACTGAACCCATTACATACTTGGATATATTTGTAGCAGTTTGCCTATCATAATTAATATAATAAGTCAAAGTGATAAAACATAAATTTTAAAATAAAATTATGGAATAGAATACATAGATTGAATATCTTGAAAGGATAGGATTTTCAAATCAACCTGACCCATCCACAGTAGTCATTTTTGAGAAAAAAGGGGAATTCACCTCCAGTTGTCTGTCAAATGTTAACTTATTCCTGTAATGCTTGAAAATGGCTAAGTGGAAGTAAATTTTAAGTTAAAAATAGATAAAGTTTCTATTTTTCCTTCTGAAATCTCTACCTCAGTATCTTTCTTTCCTTCCCTCAAAATAAACCCATAACTTATTAGATATCATTATGACCTTATATTTTTACTTTTTCAAATGATCCTCACAGAGGCAGCTGGATGTTGTCTGGCACCTGGTGAAGTCAAGAGATGTTAAGAGAATAGGCTTTGGGACCAGACTATCCGGCTCTGTAACTCAGTGCCTGTGTGATCTTGACAAGTTACTTCTCCTCTCTATAGTTGACTTTCCTCTCCAGTCACAGAGGATAACAAGGGTACCTGCTTCCTAGAATTTATGTAAGGATTAAGTGAATTAATATTTATAAACCA